ATGGAGACAGGACCACACTGCTCAGGGGCCCTGCATCTCAGAGTACCCACACCCCGAACACCCCTCTCACCAGAACCCTCTGTGCAGCACTTGGGGGTAGGTGGAAGGGGCACGGCTGGGAGACTGGAACTCTGTCCCCACGCTGAGGACAATCAACCTGACAGGTCACAGAATCAGGGACTCTGTAGAAGCCCAGGAGGGCGCCAGGAGATTACAGGCCTATCCCAGGGTGGGCAGTGGGGTAGCACCCATGCGGGCCCAGGCACCACCTCCAGCTCCCACTAGGACCCCTCACTCCCCTCCCCTTAAACAATGCAGGACACAAATGTGTGGGCAGGGGCTTCAGGTCAGCCTGTCTTTCCTCCTGCTTACAGCTGAGCATGAGTCCCCTGGCCCCAGGTAGAGTTGTCACAGAGCCTCAGAGAAATGAGACCACGTTCAGGCCTGGGCTGGGTCAGCCAGGCCCTCCCTGGGCCCCTGGGAACTTCCCTCTGCTGGGCCCCAAGCCTAATCCAGCTTATTGAGCACACAGCACACAGCCCAGCTCAGCATTCTGAGAACAGCAGGGCCACGCCAGGCGCCTGCCTCTCCCCTCAGCACAGCCAGGATGGGGCCTGGAGAAGGCTGGCAGCAGCAGAGGAGACCCTGGGAGTCGGGGATGGACACCAGGTGGGTGCATCTGGACTGGAGGAGGTGGACAGGCTCTCTGCATCCACAGGGTGACCAGGGCAGCTCATCTGCTGTGATGGCAAAGGCCCTGGGTGCAGACACATGAGGCCTTTGATATTAGCACACAGCAGCTTTCACCCTGCCCCGCTTTTAGGTGACTGTGACACTCTATGACCTGCATGTGCCCAGCCTAGGCACATGTACCCAAATGAAGCCCAGCTGTCCCGGGGACTTCCTGTCTCCCTGCTGCACGATGCCAGCCGGCCCTTTGGTAGCCTTGAGGGGGACCGAGGTCACTCACAGCCAAGTTATTAGCCAGCAACCCTGGCTGTGTGAACAAAGTCCTCAGCTGGGGCTAAGGGTGCTGGGAGGCCACCCCTTCTTGCTGAGGCTAGGGCTGGGCTCTGTTGCTTGGACAGGGTTATTCCCAGGCAGCCTTGTTAGTATCTCCCAGGAACCTAACTCCACACCAGGAAGGCTCTGGGATCCCACAACATCCCTGCCCTCAAGGGGGTCCCAGACAGCAATCGAGACCTAGCTTTACAGAGTAAAGCGTAACAGCACCGGTTCCGTGTCCAGGGAGACGCGCAGGTGAGATGCTCAGGGACTTGGGTCCTGGCCCTACACACACCTCCTCGTGGCCTTGGGCGAGTCCCTCAGTCACCCTGAGCCTTCATTTCCTCCTCGGTCATGCACACTATATTTTTTAAAAATCTATTTCAGTGCTTGTAAGAATGCCTGCAATGGCCTGCCTCACAGTGGGCCTGAGGTGTGAGGGAGGCGGGGCTGGCACCAGAATCAGCAGGTGGGTTTGGATTTGAGCCAGGGAAAAGCAAGAAGACCTGGTGGGCCACACTCAGGTCCCTGGGAAGGAATGGAGCCCCAGGAGATGAGGCTGGAGAGGATTGGAAACTGTGTCTATGAGAGGCTGTCAGCTGCTTGGATCTCTGGAAAAAAACAACAAATCCTCCATTTTCCCTTGAAGGAGAAAATGGTCATTTCTAAAGTACTGGAGCCCCTGTGAACAGCAAAGGTAGGAGGTAGGGGGCCTAATTCATCTTTGTTCTCTTGTCATCTTTCCCTCTTTGCTTTTGCTGCTGGGAAGCCCAGGCACCCTCAGATGTGAGTTTGTGGGAATTCTTACCATGACCTTTGGCTACTATTTTAAACTGCTGTTGTATGGCTCTTTTGTAAGTCTTGCTGTAAATGACATGAGGTATATGAAAACAAAGCACCCAACTATGTGAGAACTCGTGGACGGAGAGGACGATTCTGGGGGCTGTAGAAGATTGGCAGGAAGCGATGGTGCAGGGACGAGGAAGGGCGGGTGCAGAGGCCTTGTGCAGCCAGATAGGTAAGAACTCAGAAAACCATGAAGCACCCATTCACTCTCACCATGCACAGCACAGCCCTGGCCTCTGCACCCCTGCTTGCATCAGGCAGGCACGGGGATCGTGCCTTGTGTGGAGGTGGCCCTGGGGCCAGACAGACCTGGGATCCCATCCTGTTCACCCTGTGCTGACCTAATTAGCCCCTTCTCCCTGGCCCTCAGTCTCAGGATGCAGGGGACTTCCGTGAAGTGGCACCCAGGGAGATGAGGGTGCGCTTCCTGACTTGCACTCTGTACCTGCCATGAGACCAGCTCAACAGAGCCTGGAGACCTGCATGGGCCAGGGTCACAGCTGACCGGTGGCACAGGGGCAGCAGGGCAGCAGCGTCAGGGAGCCATGAACAGGTGGCTGGAACCAAGACTAACTTGACTAAGCACTGGGCCAAGCTTAGGGCAATGTGGGGAGGAGGGTCTCGTGGGAGCTGCAGCCAGGTAGGAGGTACAGCAAGCTCTCAGTTCAGGACCTGGGTTCTGGATCTGGCTCTGCCACCTCCTTGCTGGGTGCCCTCAGAGCCAGCTTTGCTGTCTTGGGATGGGGTGGGAATCTCTGTCTACCCACCTCACAGGGCTTCTGTAAGGGTCTGGAACATTCCTGAGGCACCCAGAGGGATACTGTGCCCCCACCTCCACCACCGCCCTTACATCCACTGGCAGAAAACCAACAAAGAGGTGCCGTCTGGTCTGGCTGCTGGGATGCACTGTCTCTGAGTCTGTTTTCAGGGTCCTCACTCTAAGGCCTACAGCAGTGAGAGAGGGACAGGGCTGTGGGTGAAGAGGAAGGCCACTGTAGGACCCCAGGTGGTGAAAGGCTCGGCTCTCAGTCACAAGCCAGGGAGCAGTGGAGTCAGGCCTGGAGCTGGGTCTCCCAGGACCCACCCAGACCCACTATGGGGCCTACAAATTGCGTGATGGACAGTGACTGCAGCCCCACACCCAAGGGACAGTCTTATAGACCCATAAACTCAAAATAGCCCAGACCTTCAACATCCTGGACTCAGTCTCACACATCATCAGGATGACGCGCATGAGATAAGGAGGTTTCTTTCCTTCCTCGAGGAGACCTTTCCCCCTGCCTCAACCTGCGGGGAGGAGACCTTCATCTGTCCAGTGGGGGTGATTGCATTCCTCCCACCTGGAGAATTTTGCTGGGTGAGCGGAGACAGGGCAGCTTGTGGGCACAGCATCTGTCGGGCATCACTGTCTGTCTCACAGAGAAGACGTGGGCTCAGAGGGGCCAAGGGGCTTCTGCTGGAACCCAGGTTTTCCAACTCCTGATAGTGCGCCCCGGCCACCACATTCTGCTGGCTTCCTTGGGCAGGCCATGCCGCATCTCCAGGCCCCATTTCCACATCCCCGGGATGAGGAGGCACGCCTTGCCCTGCCCACCCTGCGTGGTGCTGTGAGGGAGATGGGGAAGGGAAGGTGCTCAGAGGAGGGCTTGTTCAAGGAGTGGCGTCCCTGGAGCAGGCTGTGCAGCCAGCGCTCTGGAGCAGGGGCGGGCTGGGCTGGGGACCCTTTCCACCAAGGCAGGCTGGCCACCAGAGCTCGGGCTCTCCCTGTGGGGTGGGTGAGACTGCTGAGCCCCCAGGCAGGGTGCCCCAATGCAGAGCCTTGGGGAGCCTCCCACCCTTGGAGGTGCTGGTCCATCCCTCCTCTCCTGAGGCCACCTCAGGACACCCCCAGCTCGCTCCCACTGCTGTCAGTCCCACCCCCCTGGTAGGTGTCATTCGGCAGCAAATATCTGGGAGCAGCTGCTGATTCAGGGCCATTCCTGGCACAGTTGCTGGAGAGACCAACCCAGTGGGCAGGCATCTGAGTGGGCATGACTGAGGGAGCAGGCCATTTCCTGGGGGAGCAATGCTGCAGAGGTCTGAGGAGTGGTGGGAGTTAGCGGTCGTGGGCCTGGGCACCAGGTGCCGGGGCAGATGCAGGAGGTGATCCACAAGACATATATATGTTGAGTGCTCCCTCGCCCCGCCTGCCACATCACCTCCTGATATTTCCTCAACAGTTGCCTTGTCCCTGTGTCACAGGTGAGGACTGGTGTGCCCATCTTCCTCCTTTGGGGTGGGACAGCCTGCAATGTGCATGGAGCTCAGTGGGTGCTCCAGGTCAGCTGGGGCAGTTGGGTGGGGAGGGAGTGCTGGGGAGTGGCAGCTGGGGCCACTGATGCAGCTGTGGGCCAAGGAAACATCCCTTCCTACTGGGTTAAAGAATGTGTCCAGAAAGGGTAAATTCAGAGGTTCCTAGATTGGATCTCACTGGCCTCCATGGACAGCTGAAGCCTGAGCCATCCTCTCCACTGTAATGACGGCAGAACGACCAACCCCTGCTTCAAAACTGTGTGGTGCAACCACCTATGGACCTGGGAAGCTGAAAAGAATCTGGATGTCTTAGTAGACCACAAGCTTGAAGGGAAAACCTTAAAAGCAGTTATGTGATTCAGATTCTGAGGTAGCTTGGTAGAAAGTGCCAGTCCCAGTTCTGCCAGACAAGACCAATTACCTCTCTGAGCTTGAGAGGATAGCAGAACGTGGCTTTCCTTCTGTGCCACGGCCAGGGACCGGCCCAGTGGTAGGCAAGGGCCAGTGACAAACCTGAGGCCTAACACTGCAGGGAGGATGTGGCTGCAGAGAGCTCAGCCCCTGCCTTGTGAGCAACAGCAGCCACCTCAGCTCCAGGTGAGCTGCTGCTGGGGAGGCAGCGTGCAGACCTGTGGCATCTGGCTTTGCTGCTCCCCAACTGGCATCCTGACCATGGGAGGCCAACCAGGGTGAGTGCTGGTTGCTGGGTGGGCTCTGAGAAGGCTATGGGTCCCACATCCCCATGGAGGCCAAAGCGGGCAGTGAGCATGTTTGTTACCATCCCAGCAGAGGGGGAAGCTAGACGGCCCCCAGGGCCTTCTTCACTGCAGGTGTCAACAGAAACAGACTCTGCAAAATATTTGAAAAGATTTATTCTGAGCCAAATATGAGTGACCACGGCCATGACATAGCTCTTGGGAGGCCCTGAGAACATGTGCCCAAGGTGGTCAGGGTGCAGCTTGGTTTTATACATTTTAGGGAGGCATGAGGCAGCAATCAGATACATTTAAGAAATACATTGGTTTAGAAAGGCAGGACAACTCAAAAGCAAGGTGGGGAGGGGCCTTCCGGGCTATGGGTTAATTTAAACATTTTCTGGTTGGCACTTGGTTGAGTCATCTAAAGACCTGGGATCAATAGAAAGGAAATGTTCAGGTTAAGATAAAAGATTGTGGAGACCAAGGTTCTTTTTCAGTCTTATAGTGGCTCCCCTTAGAGACAATAGATGACAGATGTTTCCTAATCAGAACTTCAAAAAGGTGCTAAAACTCAGTCTCTTCAGGATTGGCAGGGCCTGGAAGAAAACGATCTATGTGAATAGGGATTCTTTACAGATACACATTTTCCCACACAAAAGACAGCTTTGCAGAGCCACTTCAAAATATGGCCAAGAAGCATGTTTTGGGATAAAATACTTTGTCTTCCTTGACTCGTAATGTTATGCCAGTCAGGTTGGAAAGTAAGTCACGATATATAGGGTTAAATAAAACCCATCTGATGAGAATTTATGGTTTTTAGGGCATGACTCCCCAGACGCCTTACACAGGAATTTGGGCAAGATAAAAATTATCAGAGCTTAGTCCTCACAGGGAATGGCGGGGGGGTGGGGGGAGCAGATGTGTTATAGGAAAGGGGTCCTGATCCAGACCCCACAAGAGGGTTCTTGGATCTCGCACAAGAAAGAATTCAGGGCGAGTCTGCAGTGCAAAGTGAGAGTTTATTAAGAAAGTAAAGGAACAAAAGAATGGCTACTCCATAGACACAGCAGCCCCCAGGGCTGCTTGTTGCCTATTTTTATGGTTATTTCTTGATGATGTGCTAAACAAAGGGTATTCATGCCCCCCTTTTTAGACCACAGAGGGTAACTTCCTGATGTTGCCATGGCATTCATAAACTGTCATGGCGCTGGTGGGAGTGTAGCAGTGAGGACAACCAGAGGCCACTCTCGTTGCCATTTTGGTTTTGATGGGTTTTGGCTGGCTCCTTTACTGCAACTTGTTTTAGCAGCAAGGTCTTTATGACCTGTATTTTGTATCTCATCCTGTGACTTAGAATGCCTTAGTGTCTGGGAATGCAGCCCAGTAGGTTTCAGCCTCATCTTACCCAGCTCCTGTTGAAGATGGAGTTACTCTGGTTCACATGCCTCTGACAGATGGGCCCCTGCTGGAGGCCAGGGTCTCATACCGCCACCCCTCCCTCCCCAGGCCTGCAGGGACTTCCTGGAACTAGCAGAGATACACAGCCGGAAATGGCAGCGGGCACTGCAATATGAGCAGGAGCAGCGCGTGCACTTGGAGGAAACCATTGAGCAGCTGGCCAAGCAGCACAACAGCCTCGAGCGGGCCTTCCGCAGCGCCCCCGGCCGGGCGGCCAACCCCTCTAAGAGCTTCATTGAGGGTGAGTGCCCGGGCGGCCAGGGCAGGGCTGTCCCGTGACCTTCTGCCAGGTGGCTCTGCATATACAACTTCTGCTCCCCCACATGCATATCCCTGGCTGTGTCCACGTGTGGGCTGGGCTTGGCCAACTCTGGACTGCCTTTTTGTGCTTTGTATCTCCCGTGCCCATCACCCACTGGCAACAGTTTCTCTGCACCTAGGTTCACATTCTCAAAAGTTTAATGAGCCCAGCTGTCCCTTGTGTGACAGGGGTGTCCTGGTGCCAGGTGGCCACCCACCTTGGGTTGGGGGTCACAGGGATCGTGGACAGGGGTCCAACAGAAAGGGAAGCTGGGCCACAGAAAGACTGACCCACATGCTGAGAGATTGGGGGCGGGGTGGGGGGGCTTCCAGAAAGAGGCCCCTGTGCAATGAATGTGTTGAAAGCACATGATTCTAGCAGAGGAGCAAGGGTGGCTGCAGCCCAGGGCTGCCCAGGTGACTGAAGCAGGAGGAGAGTGAGGCCAGATGGGGGTTGAGGGAGCCCTTGGCTCTGGACTTAGGGAGGCAAGATGAGCCTTTTGTGAAGTTACAAACTAAAGCTCTGCCTATGTCTCTAGGAAGCCTCTTGACTCCCAAAGGAGAGGACAGTGAGGAAGATGAAGATACCGAGTACTTTGATGCCATGGAAGACTCCACATCCTTCATCACCGTGATCACTGAGGCCAAGGAAGACAGGTAAGGTGGCTGCATCTGGGCAGAGCCTCCCCCACCCTGGTCTTAGGCTGCATCTGGTCTTTTCACCAGCTATCTACTTGTTTACTTGGGGTTTTCTTTCCTTTAAATCTTGCTTTGGCCAGGCCCAGTGGCTCCCAGCACTTTGGGAGGCCAAGGGTAAAAGGATTGCTTGAATACAAGAGTTCAAGACCAGCCTGGGCAACATGGCAAAACCCTGTCTCTACAAAAAATACAAACACTAGCCAGGGGTGGTGGTACAGGCCTGCAGTCCTAGCTACTTGGGAGACTGAGGTGGGAGGGTCGCTTGAGCCCAGGGAGGTCGAGGCTACAGTGAGCCATGGTCATGCTACTGCACTCTATCCTGGGCAACAGAGAGACCCTGTCTCAAAAAATCAATAATCTGTCTTGCTCCAGATGGGATTTCATTGTTGTGTGAGCCTCATTTACACAAACCTAGCTGATAGAGCCTCCACACACCTGGGCTATATGGCACAGCCTATTGCTCCTGGGCTACAAACCTGTACAACATGTGACTGTACTGAATATTGTAGGCAATTGTGACACAGTGGTTAAGGATTTGTGTATCTAAACATAGAAAAGGTATATTAAAAATATAGTATGATAGTCTTATGGGACCACTGTTATATACACTATCCGCCAATGAAATGTTGTTATGCGGTGTCTGTCTACACACAGAACACAGGGCAGTGACCAGGACATTTACTAGCAATGAAAACGATGCTGTCTAGAGAGAGGATGGGCCAGGTCCCAAGGAGGCCTCGGGATTCATCAGTAACTTGCCTCCTGCTTTGTGTTTCCTACAGAAAAGCTGAAGGTAGCACGGGGACAAGTTCTGTGGACTGGAGCTCAGCAGACAATGTAAGTGAGGGGGAGCACTGTAAGGGCCAGCAGGCAGGCCCATGCCCCAGTCCAGGAGCGCCACCCTGCCCTTCACCAGCAGTGTGCCAGTTCTCAGGGTGGAGGGCAGATACCTGGAAGCTGAGGGGGCGCTCTGGCCTCTGCTGACGGGGGTGTCCCCACTTCTGTGGCAGGTACTAGATGGTGCCTCGCTCGTGCCCAAGGGTTCGTCCAAAGTCAAGAGGCGAGTCCGCATCCCCAACAAGCCCAACTACAGCCTTAACCTCTGGAGCATCATGAAGAACTGCATCGGTCGGGAGCTCTCCAGGATCCCCATGCCGGTGGGTGGCTCGGGCAGGGCAGCCCTGGCAGGTCCTCTGGGGCTGCTTTCCTGTGCATGGATGAGAAGTAATGGCCTGTGTGAAATACACAGAGTCTTGGAGTGTCATTTTCTTAATGGCACCTGAGGAGCATGTAACTAATTATCTAATCGTGTACATAGGCATTCCCCAATCTTCCAAAGTACAGGGATCTTTGGGCTCTGACAGAAGGAGCCAGGGAGAAGCTCTGCATGGATCAGCAACCTGGGGAGCCCCAGAGCACCTCTGGATCTCACGGAGCCTTACCATGTCCCGGCTGTCCCTATCTGTAGATGGGGAGTGGCAGGATGGGGCTGTGTGTGGAGGGGTGGGCCCTCCTTCAGCTGGCAGCCATCCCTGGTGCCATCCCCAGGAAATGCAGACTCGGTGTGGTCACACAGTGGGCTGAGGGCAGAACTTGGATCTTCATGCCACCTGGCTACGGTGGCATCTCCACCAGGCCAGACGGTTCTGCTGTGTGACCCAGAACGAGTTCCTTCACATCTCTAGCCTCTGTGTCCACATCTGTGGAGTGGGGAGAATCACAACACCCCCTTCACAGTGTCCGGGAGGATGGAACAAGATAACACAAGGAAGCTGAGACTCATACCCGATGGCATCATGGTGGGGAGAGTGACCCTGCCCTATGTGACACTGAGACAGGGGCCCTGGGCCTAACCCATCCTGTGCCAGGTCCCATCACAGCTCAGAACATGGGGAAGACCCACTTCCTCCACCCACAGACTCATGTGCTCATTCACTCATTCTCTCACTGCTTCTTAAGATTCGGCACTGAAGATACAGCAGTGGGCCAGGCAGAACCCCTGGCCTTGGCGGGTGTCCATCCGAGCAGAGGAGAGTGACAGCAAACATGATAAAAGTGTGTAGGATGCAGCAGACCAGAAAGTGGGGAGGGCTGTGAAGAAAACAGGCAGGAGGGACCAGAGAGGTGATGGCTTGGGGGCCGCAGTGTTGGGACAGGGCCATCAGAGGAGCCTCACTGTGAAGATGCCGTCTGAGCGGGGATGTCCCTGAACATTTGAGAAAAGCAAGGGCACCATGCCAAGCCGGGGCTGGTGCCCAACCTGACTGCCCACCCACAGGTGAACTTCAACGAGCCCCTGTCCATGCTCCAGCGGCTGACAGAGGACCTGGAGTACCACCACCTGCTGGACAAGGCGGTGCACTGCACCAGCTCGGTGGAGCAGATGTGCCTGGTGGCTGCCTTCTCTGTGTCCTCCTACTCCACCACGGTGCACCGCATCGCCAAGCCCTTCAACCCCATGCTGGGGGAGACCTTTGAGCTGGACCGCCTCGATGACATGGGCCTGCGCTCCCTCTGTGAGCAGGTGAGCGGGCTAGGCTGGCACTGGGTGGTGCCCGCCCACACTCTGGCCAAGCTGTTCCTGCCAGGCCCAAGGTGACAAATGGGATGCAGCCTCTGACTCCCACTGCCCATACCCAAGGGGCCATCAAGCTGAGGTCCAGCCAGGAAGCACGGCCTCCCATGGCAGGGGCAGCACAGGGCCTCCTGGAGACGGTGAGAGGCATGAGAACACAGCATGGTGAGGACAGGGTCAGGCCTGGTTGCAGAGACGGGGAGGATAAGCTCCAGGCCAGGATGCTGTGGAGCAGAGGTGGAGGGGCATCTGTGGGCACTGCTGGGGAGGAGCATGGGGTCACCACAGAGCTGAAGGCAGCTGGCAGGAGGAGCCTGGGTGCAGTGGGATGGACTCTGCCCCAGCCAGTGACAGCAGCCTGTCCCCGCCACCCCTTCCCCAGGGAGACATGCCAAGACCCAGGCCCAGGAGCCTCAGTGGCAGCCCCATGCTGAACCTGGGCGTCCTGGTTGAAAACAAGGTGATTCCGTTGGTGCCAGCGTTGCCCTGGCTCCTGGCATGAGCGTGGGACGCTGGCCATTCAGATCCTGGTGCTAGTTGAAGAGGCTGCAGCTGCGGCAAGGCCCTGTTAGGAGGTGACTGCAGTGACCCACGCAGGGGTGCGGTGGTCAGACCTGGGTGAAGGGGGAGGCCAGAACACTGGCAGCTTTTGAAGGATGAGCCAGCTGGTTTGCCGATGCTTTGGATATGGGGGTGGGGGGCAGTCAGGGTGATCCCAGGTCCTTGGCCTGAACCCTGGAGTGAATGTATTTCTCCATTCAGCAGATGTTAGATGCCCTCAACATGCCAGGTGCTGCTCAGGCATGGAGGTTTCAGCTGGGAAGTGAACAGACACGGCTCCAGTTCTCATGGGGCTGGGAAAGCAGGGCGGATACTGTGGCTGCTTCCAGCTCTTTCGAGTGGTCAAGGAGCAGCTTTGCTGATGCAGAGAGAGTGAAGGGAGGAAAGGAAAGGAGGGTGGAGAAGCAGCAGCTGGAGGGGTGGTACACCTGGGGTGGGGCCTGCCTCCTGACCTGCCAGAGGACCCCTCTCCTGTGATGGAGGGAGTGGCCCACAGGGAGGCCCGGGGAGGTAGAGGTGGGAGTGGAGGGGACAGATACTGGATGCATTTTGAAGGAAGGGCGGGCAGGCAGGCTTTGCTCAGGGTTAGAGGAGGAGCATTAGGAGAGCCATAGAGGCTGCCGAGCGTTTGGTGTGAGTGGTTGGAAGGGCAGGATGCTGAAGTGTAGGTGAGGAGGAGGCAGAGTTTCCCACGGGCTCTTTGGGGAGGCATCAGCTGAGTTCAGGACCAGCTCACCATCTCCCAGGGTGGTTCGCAGCTGGGCCTGCACTCCTGGGGCATAGGAAGCAAGTGGGCACCTTTTTCAGAGACAGGAAGTTAGGCGAGGCAAACTAGGGGCAGCGGGAGCCCGGCTCCGTCCTGGTCGGGCTCTGCCTGACTGAGGGGAGGTGTTCAGGGGCAGCTGGAGGTCAGGGGCAGCTGGAGGCCAGGTGCAGGGCTAGGCTAGGGCTGCTGTCCTGGGGAGTGAGTAGACTTAGGAGAGGGAAGCCTGGGTCCCACGGCCAGAGGAGCATGGAATAAGGAAAAACAGACAAGGGAGGTTTGGTGGCACTGCCAGTGAGGCAGGGGAGGGCTGGGCCGGGGGCAGTTCATTGATGTGGATGCCTGCTCTGGAGCCAAGCTGGCCAGGGGCAGGGCCCAACTGCCCCTTGGCTAAAGTCACACTGCCAGTCTGGGCCCCCTTGGTATAACATGGCACAGCAGCCGCACCTGGCATGTGGGGAGGATTAGATGAGAAGTGGACATGGAACCCTCGGCACAGTGTGACGCCCTTTATCAGCCCTCAGTGCACCTGTCACAGGCACGTCTTTCAGGCATGAGGTCTGCCATCACCCCTATTTCACAGCCCAGGAGCCAGGCACTGAGAGGCTCAGGACAGCACCCGGATGCTTTTCTGCTCAAGGCAGTGCCTTCCTGGGGGCCTGCCTTGGGTCCATGGCCACCTGAGGAACAGCCAGGACTGCTCCTATGGCCACAGAGCTGTGCCTGCTGAGACAGCGCAAGCTGTCCCTCCCTGGCTGGGGGAGGTGGAACCTGGGCTCATGTCTGGCAGATGCTCACGTCCTATGGGTCTGGTCTCAGGTGAGCCACCACCCCCCCTCAGCTGCGCACTACGTGTTCTCCAAGCATGGCTGGAGCCTCTGGCAGGAGATCACCATCTCCAGCAAGTTCCGGGGAAAATACATCTCCATCATGCCGCTAGGTGAGCTGGGGCCCGGTGCCTTCCTGGGACAGAGACATTCTGCCTAAGAGGGAGGATTCTGGTGATGCAAAAGCCAGCTGGGGGCTTCCAAGGGAGGCCTCCCTGTAGGCCTGCCTCTCCAACCCCCAGCCTGGTTCTCAAGACACCAGGCCTAAGGGCAGACTGGCCAGAGCCCTGCATGGGGGGCGTGACCTCTGATCTGTCCCCCACCTCCAGGTGCCATCCACTTAGAATTCCAGGCCAGTGGGAACCACTACGTGTGGAGGAAGAGCACCTCAACTGTGCACAACATCATTGTGGGCAAGCTCTGGATCGACCAGGTCAGGGGGGCCCTTGGGGAGAGGGTGCATGGCCCAGGGGCTGGCCGCTGACCACTGCCCTCCTTCGCCAGTCAGGGGACATCGAGATTGTGAACCATAAGACCAATGACCGGTGCCAGCTGAAGTTCCTGCCCTACAGCTACTTCTCCAAAGAGGCAGCCCGGAAGGTAAGCAGGACCAGCCACCTCTGAGCACCCCAGGGGGCCCAGGGCAGAGTGTGCACCTATGCTGGTCCTGCCCATGTCCACAGGTGACAGGAGTGGTGAGTGACAGCCAGGGCAAGGCCCACTATGTGCTGTCCGGCTCGTGGGATGAACAAATGGAGTGTTCCAAGGTTGTGCATAGCAGTCCCAGCAGCCCCAGCTCTGACGGGAAGCAGAAGACAGTGTACCAGACCCTATCAGCCAAGCTGCTGTGGAAGAAGTACCCGCTGCCGTGAGTAGGGCTGGCAGGGGCCCCGCCACAGGCGTAGGACAGGGGTCAAAGGAAAGGGAAGGAGGACAGTGGACAGAAAGCAACTGACAGGCACAGGAGGTCGGGAGGGTTCAGTCCACACATGGGCAGAGAACAATATTATGCAGCCGACATCCCAGTGTGAAGGCAGATACCCAACAGTAAATAAATGTGAAACTATCAAACACTATGCACAGACTTTAAGTGAGGTGATAGGACAGAGCCCCTCCCTGTTCCTCCCTACAAGAAATAAAAAATATACTTGAAAATAACCATAGGAAATAGAAAACTATAAAATGTGGCATAGGAAAGTCCAAATAGAACAAATAGAAATTTGACAAAGAAAAAAAAAAAATAACTGAAATTAAGAACACTATGGAATGGTTTAGTAGCTAGAATCTATCACCTGAACACAGGTCAGAAGACGTGACAGAACTGAATTTAAAGAGACACAACCCAGAAAAGACAAGAAGCTACAGGGAGAAGACAGAGTGAGGTCCCTGGAGCAGGCTCCCTGGTCTCCACTGGGAGCTAGTTTGAGTGCAGAGTCTCCCGTCAGACCTCCTGCAATGGAATCTACATTTCTGTAAGCTTGCTCAGCAAGATTGAGAGCAGGGTTTGGCATACTTCTAGCAAGAGTCCCAAAAGGAAAGAGGGACTGTACCTGAAGATAAAATAACAAAGAACTTCCTGCACCTAAATCTATGCAGTGAAACTAAATCAGAGGAAACTATTAAGCAGCCAGATTTTAAAAAGACATCACTTTCCAAGGAGCTGTTCCCTTATCAACAGAAATGGGAGCTTGAAGACAGTCAAGCGATATCTTCCGTGAGCTGAAAGATGCACTGCCAGCCTAGAATTATACACCCAGGGGGACCATCTTTAAAGGATGAAGGTGAAATCAAGGCATTTTCAGGCAAACAAAAAGCTTAGTTTGGCACCAGCAGACCTGCATGAAAGGATATACCTCAGGTAGGAGGAAACTGACCCCAGAGGGAAGATCTGAGACATATGAATGAATAACAGATACGGTGCACCTACATAAATGCTGAACAAACAAGAATAATGTGGGGTATAACATTTTAGAATGCGGCTGCACAGTAAGAAGAGGAATGAAGGGAGGGAAACTGCTCAAAGGCCCCCATGCTGCCCTGGAAGAGGATCAAGATGCACATTCGCTTGACTGTATGAAGTATGTTTAATTGCTATTCCTAGGGTAACCACTAAAATAATCCATTTAGCTGGAATCCCAGAAGAAGAAGAAAAAAACAACGAAGAGGGAGATATAATGAAGATAAATTTCCCAGAGTAAAAGCAAAGGGATGAAAGACCCTGAAGTGTGCTCAAGACAAGATATAAAGAAAAATGTTCATCTAGATCATGCGATAGTCAAAATGAAGACCGAAGAAAAATATTCTAATAGCTTCCAGAGAGGAGCAAAAGATTTTAGTCAAGGATAAAGAATCAGACTGACATCAGATTTTTCAACAACCAACATTGGATTAGTATTTTCTAAGTTACAAAATTAGAAAGCAGAATTTTCTATTTAGTCAAAGTATCATTCACATATGGGGCCCTATCCTTTGGCATGCAGCCTCAGAAGTTTTACCACACGAAAACCCACAATGAAAACAGTATTGGGCCGGGTGCGGTGGCTCATGCCTGTAATCCCAACACTTTGGGAGGCCGAGGCAAGTGGATCACTTGAGGTTAGGAGTTCAAGACTACCCTGGCCAACATGGTAAAACCCCATCTCTACTACAAATACAAAAATTAGCCAGGCATGGTGGTGGGCACCTATAATCCCAGCTACTCGAGAGGCTGAGGCATGAGAATCACTTGAACCTGGGAGGCAGAAGTTGCAGTGAGCTGAGATCATGCCACTGCACTCTAGCCTGGGAGAAGAAAAAATAAATAAATAAACAAACACTGGACATAGTACTTAAAAGAGGGAATGGAGGGAGCAAGGATGTCACAACAGATGAATAAAGGGGTTTTGTTTGCTTTTTCATTGTTTTTTGTTTTGAGATAGAGTCTCATTCTGTCACCCAGGCTAGAGTGCAGTGGCATGATCTTGGCTCACTGCAACCTCTGTCTCCCAGGTTCAAGCAATTCTCCTGCCTCAGTCTCCCGAGTAGCTGAGAGTACAGGGGCATGCTGCTACGCCCGGCTAATTTTTGTATTTTTAGTAAAGATGAGGTTTTACTATGTTGGCCAGGCTGGTCTTGAACTCTCGACCTCAAGTGATCGGCACACCTCAGCCTCCCAAAGTGCTAGGACTACACCACACCCAGTCTAAAAGTTATTTTTAAAATAATTGCTAGGATCAAAGAAAAAGAGAAAATATGTCCATAATAATAAAGATTTAAAAGTTTAGATAATGTTAGCATGATGGAATTTGAGGAGAAGGGGAAGGACCTCAGGGATGTGAAGAAATGCTAAGTTCTTAATGGAAGGAAGAAACATAAGATTGTTAAAATAGTAAAAGAAAAGTAAAAAGTAGCACAAACAAAAATTACAAATTAACATGATAGCAATAGGCCCAACCATTATAATAAATATAAATAGATGAAACTTACCAGTTAAAAAGCAAACTACTGACAAACTGGATTTTTTTTTAAGAGACAGAGTCTCGCCCTATTACCCAGGCTGGTATCCAGTGGCACAATCATTGCTCACTGCAGCCTCAAACACCTAGGTTCAAGTGATCCTCCAACTTCACACTCCGGAATAGCTAGGACTACAGGCATGCATCACTATGCCTGGCTAATTTTTAAAAATTTTTTGTAAGGACAGGGTGTCACTATGTTGCTCTGTCTGATCTCAAACTCCTGGCCTCAAGTGATCCTCCAGCCTCAGCCTCTCAAAGTGCTGGGATTACAGGCACAAGCCACCATGCCCTGCCTAACTGGATGTGTTAAAATCCAGATACCTGGACCTTCTAAGAGATTCCCAAAATATAAAGGTATACAAAAGTTGAAAGTAAAAGACACATATCATGAAAATACTAACAAAAAGTTATAATAGCTATATTAATATCAGGTAAAATAGACTTTAGGACAAAAGCATTATTAAGGAAGGGAAAGTTGCTATAATAAAGGTTGAGTTCATCAAAAAGATATAATAGTTTTAAACATTATGCATATAATTAAATGCCTCAAAAATATACAAAGCACATATTGATACTTAAGGAAGAAACTGATAAATCCATCACCACAGTGGGAAATTGGGAGGTCAAATGGAAACAACTGAAAACAATCCAGCAAGTATATGGAGATTGAAACAATATAGGCTATACAGACTCATGGATGAAACTCTGAGAACGTATTTTTTTCTCAGGTATACATGGAATGTATGCAAAAATTGATTGTGTACTAAACCCTAATGGAAGCCTCACAGATTTACAGAGAGTAGCATACAGACCACAATCTAAAAGACAATTAAGATAGAAGTTACAAACAAACTGATCAAAAAATCCCAAATATTTGGGAAAAAAATTAAGTTGCTAAATAACAGGCAAAATAAATTAGAATGAAAAAATGCAAAATATGTAGAACTGAATGATATAAAAGATATTTGGCCGGGCGTGGTGACTCATGCCTGTAATCCCTGTACTTTGGGAAGCCGAGGTGGTTGGGAGTGGGGATCACTTGAGGTCAGGAGTTCAAGACCAGCCTGGCAAACATAGTGAAACCCTGTTTCTACTAAAAATACAAAAATTAGCCAGGCATGGTGGCATGCGCTTATAATCCCAGCTGCTTAGGAGGCTGAGGTGGGAGAATCGCTTGAACCTGGGAGGCAAAGGTAGCAGTGAGCTGAGATCATGCCACTGTACTCTAGGCTGGGTGACAGAGTGAGACTCCATCTCGGGGAAAAAAAAAAAAAAAAGACAAAAGATATTTAAACTGGCTGGATGCAACAAAGGCCATGCTTCAAAGGAAATATATTGCCTTAAATCATTTAAATAATGTTGAGGCTTTCTCCTTTCTGAGTTTCAATTCTAATATTAGAGAAAGTTCAACATAGAAATCCAAAGAAAGAAGAAAAAATACTTTAAAAATAATAGCAAGAGCAAGAGCAAAAGCCTGTGCAACATAGTTAAGACCTCATCGCTACAAAAACAAAAAAAAATGTTTTTTCTTAATTAGACAGGCATGATGATACATGCCTGTAGTCCCAGATACTCAGGAGGACTGAGGTGGGAGGATCACTTGAGCCCATGAGGTCGAGGCTGCAGTGAGTTGTGAACACACCACTGCACTCCAGCCTGTGTGACAAAGCAAGACCCTGTCTCAAAAAATAATAATTTTTGGCCGGGTGCAGTGGCTCACGCCTGTAATCCCAGCACTTCAGGAGGCCGAGGCGGGCGGATCACCTGAGGTCAGGAGTTTGAGACCAGCCTGACCAACATGGAGAAACCCCGTCTCTACTAAAAATACAAAATTAGCTGGGCATGGTGATGCGTGCCTGTAATCCCAGCTACTCGGGAGGCTAAGGCAGGGGAATTACCTGAACCTGGGAGGCGGAGGTTGCAGTGAGCTGAGATCACGCTATTGCACTCCAGCCTGGGCAACAAGAGCAAAACTCTTGTCTCAAAAGAATAATAATAATAATAATAATAATAATAATAATTTTGGCTAGACATGGTGATTCATGCCTATAATCTCCTGTATTATTCCATTTCCACACTGCTCTAAAGATACCACCAGAGATTGGGTAATTTATAAGGGAGAAAAGGTTTAATTAACTCACAGTTCTGCCTGACTGGGGAGGCCTCAGTAAACTCAATCATGGCGTAAGGCGAAGGAGAAGCAAGTACCTTCTTCACAAGGCAGCAAGAAAAGAGCAGAGTAGAGGAAACGGCCACTTACAAAACCATCAGATCTAGTGAGAACTCACTATCAGAAGAATAGCATGAGGGAAACCACCCCCATGGTCCAATCACCTCCCACCAGGTCCCTCCCCTGACATGTGGGGATTATAATTTGAGATGAGATTTGGGTGGGAACACAGCCAAACCCTATCATCCCAGCACTTTGGAAGGCTGCGGTGGGAATATTGCTTGAGTTCAAGAATTTGAGACCAGCCTGGGCAATATGGCAAGATACCATCTTTATATTAATAATAATAAAAGCAGAAATCAATAAAGTCAAAAGTTGATTCTTTGAGGCACAAAAAAACTGTTAAAATAGAAAACTACTGACAAGACTGAGCAAGACAGAAATATTAATGAAAAAGGTTTAATGTGACATATAAAGTATAAAGACATAATTAAAACTTAGATCGGAGGGACAAATCTTAGAAAAATATAACAAGAACTAACTCCAGCTGGGCACAGTGGCTCATGCCTATAATCCCAGCACTTTGGAAAGCAAAGGCAGTTGGATCGCTTAAGCCCATGAGTTCAAGACCAACCTGGGCAACAGCAAGACCCTGTCTCTACAAAAAAAAAATTTTTTTTAATTAGCCATGTGTGGTGGTACACATGTGTAGTCCCAGCTACTCAGGAGGCTGAGGCAGGAGAGTTACTTGAGCCCAGGAGGTCGAGGCTGCAGTGAGCCATGACTGCTACTGCATACCAGCCTGGGTGACAAAGCAGACTCTGTCTCAAAAAAAAAAAAAAAGGAAAAAGAACTGACTCTAGAAGAAATTAAAAACACGAATAGTCCTATAATAAAGTAACTGAAGCAATAGTTTAAAAATTACCATAAAGAAAACACAAGGCCCAGATAATTTTACAGGTTAATTCTCCCAATTTTTTCAGAAACATATTATTCCAATTTTATATAAAGTGTTCCAGATCATAGAAAAAGGAAATACTCACCTCTCCTATACTGTGAGGTCAGGATAACCCTCATACCAAATTAGACTAAACTAGCAGTAGGAAAATAAAAGTTCTACCCTATTTCACTTATATTAATAAATACATAAGCAAAACTCCAAAATAAGATATCAGAAAATCCAATCCAACAGTATATAAAAAAGATAGCATTCTATAATCAGATCGAATCTATCCTGGGTATACAGAATGATTTTATATTAGAAAATGCATAGAGTAATCATATTAACAGATTTCAATAGATTCAGAAAAAGCATTTTAGGTGCCTAGATACAAGATTAATATACAAAAGCCAGTTGCACTTCAGCAAACAACTAGGAAAATGCAATTTAAGATAAGACACCAAGGCCGGGCGCAGTGGCTCATGCCTATAATCACAGCACTTTGGGAAGCCAAGGCAGGCAGATCACCTGAGCTCGGGAGTTTGAGACCAGCCTGACCAACATGGAGAAACCCCATCTCTACTAAAAATACAAAATTAGCCACGCGTGGTGGCACATGCCTGTAATCCCAGCTACTCCGGAGGCTGAGGTAGGAGAATCACTCGAACCCAGGAGGCAAAGGTTGTGGTAAGCCAAGATCACACCATTGCACTCCAGCCTGGGCAACAAGAGCAAAACTCCATCTCAAAACAAAAAAGAAAAAAATACCAATTAACAGCATATAACATCAAGAACCTTGCAATAAATCTTATAATATATTCAAGACCTCTATAGAAAACATTATAAAGCTTTAATAAGAGATACCAAACAAGAGCTAAATAAATGGAGAAAGATATAATGTTCATGGATAGGAAGTATTGTAAAGATGTCATGATCTAAAAAATAGTAAATCAAACAAAACCCCAATAGGGACTTTCATGGAACTTGATATTAGAATTTTTAAACTTATATTGAGGAATAAAGGGCCAAGACATTTCTGAAGACCAAAGAGGACTTACCTCCTAGATACCAGGATTTTTATTTTGAAACTCCAGTGGAACAGAATAGTAAGCCCAGAAACAGACCCATGGATATATGTACCTCTGATATATGACAAAGGTGGCATATCAGATCTTGTGGGAACATGGAATGGCTCACCAAATGGATATGGGTAAAAATGATTATCCCTATGGAAAAAGATGCACTTAATCCCTCCCTCACATTATAAAGAAAATCAACTCCAAATAATGGCCTAACAATAATATTAAGTTTGACTTATTGTAAACAATGACTTAATAAGTTTAAAAGGATAAATATCTTTTAGACCCTAAAGAAATATTAAGACACAAGCATTCATATATTTGACCATATTAAAGTACTTTTGTTCATTGAGAACTTTACTCACTAAAAGGCAATTTAAAGAAAGTGAAAAGACGATGCATAAACAAACTTGGAGAAGGTAATCATAATACCTACCTACACTTGACAGAGGATTATTATCAAGAATACAGAGTATTTTATCACAGTTAAAAATAATAATTTTTAAAAGATCACATAAAGAACTTTTTTTTGAGACGGAGTCTCACTCTGTCACCCAGCCTGGAGTGCAGTGGTGTGATCTCAACTCACTGCAACCTCTGCCTCCCGGGTTCAAGCGATTCTCCTGCCTCAGCCTCCTGAGGAGCTGGGATTACAGGTGTGCACCACCATGCCTGACATTTTTGTATTTTTAGTAGAGATGGGGCTTTGCCATATTGGCCAGGCTGGTCTCAAATTCCTGACCTCAGGTGATCTGCCCACCTCTGCCTCCCAAAGTGCTGGGATTACAGGCAAGAGCCACTATGCCCAGCCCACATATAGAACTTCTAATCAACAAATAGTGTAAAAGTAATGGGAAAATGCACAAGAGTCATGAACAAGAATTTTGCAGAAAAAACATATATAGACAGTCACCATATAAAAACCATATATGTTGAAGAAGCCATAGATCTACAATATCTCTGATATATTGCTGCTGGCAACGTAAATTGGCACAACACGCGGGAAAACAGTTTGGCTTTACCTCCTAAAGATGAAAAATCCACCAGGCGTGATGGCTCACGCCTGTAATCCCAGCACTTTGGGAGGCCAAGGCAGGTGGAACACCTGAGGTTAGGAGTTCGAGACCAGCCTGGCCAACCTGGTGAAACCCTGTCTCTACTAAAAATATAAAAATTAGCCAGGCATAGTGGCACACTCCTGTAATCCACATGCTACTCCAAAGGCTGAGGCAGGAAAATTGCTTGAACCTGGGAGGTGGAGGTTGCAGTGATTCGAGATGGCGCCACTGCACTGCACTCCAGCCTGGATAACAACAGTGAAACCCCACCCCCCGCAAAAAAAGATGTACAATCACATAGTCATAACACAGTAATTCTACTTCTAAAAATATACTCAAGAGAAATTCTTGCAAATGTACAACAGGACTTATGCATAAGACTATGCATGAGACTATTCTAATAAAAACTTGGAAACAACACAAATTTATTGAATGAATAACTGTGGTACGTTCATATGAAGGAATATGTACAGTAGCTAAAACTAAACCCTAGTAACATGAAGCAATATAGGTAAATCTTAGCAATATAATAAGAAAAAAAAAAAAGCAGAAGGTGCTGCAGCAGTACTGGTGGCTATGGTTCCCGTAGCCAGAAGGAGTTGCCCACAGAGCCCCCCATACAATATACATAGGAAATCTACCTTTTAATATGGTTCAGGGTGATATAGATGCTATCTTTAAGGATCTCAGCATAAGGAGTATACGGGTAGTCAGAGACAAAGACACAGATAAATTTAAAGGATTCTGCTATATAGAATTCAATGAATTCCTTAAGGAAGCTTTGACATACGATGGTGCACAGTTGGGCAATCGGTCACTTCATGTGGACACTGCAGAAGGCAGAAAACAAGATAAAGGTGGCTCTGGATTCAGAAAAGGTGGCCCAGATGACGAGGATTCAGGGATGACTTCTTAGGAGGCAGGGGAAGTAGTCACCCAGATGACTGGCCAACAGGCCCCGCAATGGGCACCCACGTCAGAGATGGTCCTTCCCTCCACGGATCCAACGTGGATTTCAAAGAACCGACAGAGGAGGGAAGAGCACAAAGACCATGACTCCAGCGTAAACCTTGAACGGTTGTGACGCCCCTCAATCAAGTAGCCAATCCCAACTCTGCTATCTTCGGGGGTGCCAGACCCAAAGCGGAATTCGTCCACAAGGAGCAAGAATGAGCCTGCGGTTGGGAGGGAATGGGACTTGGGGGGTTGGAGCAGGACCACAGCCTGGTGAGTCCCTGGGCCGTGTTCCTGCTGCTTCCACTTCCGCACCTGCCACTGGCCTCCCCACAGTGGAAACACAGCTTGTTGAGTGCATGCCAGCTGTTAACAAGTGGTTTTTAGTACATGGTGGGCTTTGCTGTATCTATGTAGTGCCTGTTTGTGTGTTTTTTTCTTTCTACCACTGCTTCCCCATTTTCCTTCTGTCCTTTTCCTCCCAGCTCCTTGTTTTCCTAGCAGCACATCGGAGGATCGGAGGTGGCTGTGTGGGGGAGTCATTTGGGCTGCAGTGCCGCATCATTTTTCTCCTTGGCTTCCTCTTTTTACCTTAGACACTGGCCCGACTCCAGGCATTTCCTTTCATTTCTTCAGTGTTTCTCTTCTGACCTGCATGTTGAGTTCTGTATTGCGTTGGCTTCTAACAAAAACCAGAAGTCACTGACAGACTGAACTGCAGTATAGTATTCAGCTGTGATGGACACAGAGAATTGGAGGCACCTTGTTTTCACAACTAGGATAAAAATAGCTGTTAATCCTTGCAAGGTCCTTTCCATTTCTATTGAGAGGGAACCCTGGCTCCATGACCCCTTCCCAAAGTGGACTGTCCAAAGGGATAGGCTCACATGAGAAACAGCGAACCTGAAAGTGGAGACTGTGGAATAGTGGTAGGGAGTCCATGGAGAAGATACAGTGAATGTTCGTATGCATTCACGTGTTTTTGTTCCTGCTCTTTTGAGGTTGTGTCCCAGCTAGTTCACTCCTTTCACCAGACATGGTCCAGGTTCCCCTCTCTGGCCAGCTGCAGCGAATGGCCAGACGGTTTCTTTTCTGCTGGGCCGAGGCACTTTGGGGGTTGGGGGTAGTGCTGGCACTGCACTTCGTTGACTGCAGTGCTGACACAGCGTTTCCCCAAATCCCTGTTGCCTGTGTGTTTGTGTTTATCTGTTCCTAATATAGACAACATAACGAGATACTGTGCTTCCCACCTTCCCTTCAATTCATAGCCAAAATGGTTCTAGAATCTGGTACTTTACTCATTTCCTTTGATAAATGAAATTGTACTATGCAGAGCTGTCAGGAAACTTCAGATAACCGTATAGGACTTTAGCTGTCTAGGTCTGTGGCTGCATCTTGGGGATATACTTGATTGTTCCCATGTGCAGGGTTCAGCACTTACCTGGGAGTGGTAGGGGATAGGCTTTTGAGCTTGAATGCCTATGTGTGAACAGATTAAAAATGCTTCAGTACCCAAATCCCAGTCTTCCCTTTGGGGAACAGTTGGGGGGTGGCTGGCAGCAAGGGCCTAGGAAAGAGACCCTTGCTGGGTGATGGCAGGGTGGGGTGGGGCACCCAGCGGAGTGTGCTTAGTAATTGATCACTGGCTGTCATCCTTGGCTTCTTCTACTGTGTCTTTGTTACAAGTCCTCAGCAATCCACAGAACTAACTCTCTCCTTCCTTCTACCTGTCAGCTTCTCTGCTTCTGAGATAAGAACCATTTCTGTAACACCAATACTTAAGAAAGACATGCATTATGTGGTGTAATCAAGCCTGATGCTTTCAGATCATCTACTTACATCTTCAATGTGGATAAGATAAAGAAACAAAACAAATGCATCTAAACTTCTGGGCAATCCAGTTGATTTTTAAATGTAAGAATGGAATTCCAAACACAACACATTCAGCTATATGACAGAAAGTAAATCTATGGATATGGTATTTTGTGAAGGATCTTTTCAACAAAAGAAACCCTTATGTAATTTACACACACACACATTAGGAGAGATGGACTACAACCCAAGTAGAGAAAATATAAACAAGGCCTGCTAGACAGTTACACAACCTTGCACTCAACAACTGTGGCAAATGCGTCCTCTTCAATCACATGGAACGTGTGCAAAAACTGCCCATATACTGGGCCATAAAGCAAATTTCAAAGGACTGAAATTATGCCAAGTATATTGTCTGACTCCAAGGCAATTATGCTAGAAAAAAATGACTAGAAAAATCCCCATATAGGCTGGGCGTGGTCGCTCATGCCTACAATCCCAACACTTTGGGAGGCCAAGATGGGCAGACCAATTGAGGTCAGGGGTTCAAGACCAGCCAACATGGCCAACATGACAAAACCCCATCTCTACTAAAAATACAATAAAATTAGCTGGATGTGGTGGTATGCCCTGAAATCCCAGCTACTCAGGAGGCTAAGGCCAGAGAGTTGATTGAACCCAGGAGGCGGAGGCGGAGGTTGCGGTAAGCGGAGATCAGGCCACTTCACTCCAGCCTTGGCCACAAAGTGAGACCCGTCTTTTTTTTTTTTTTTTTTTTTTTTTTTTTGAAATGGAGTCTCGAACTGTCGCCCAGGCTGGAGTGCAATGGTGTGATCTCGGCTCACCGCAACCTCTGCCTCCCAGGGTTCAAGCAATTCTCCCGCCTCAGCCTCCTGAATAGATTACCTGGGATTACAGGTGCCTGCCACCATGCCTGGCTAATTTTTAGTAGAAACGGGGTTTCACTCTGTTGGCCAGGCTGGTCTTGAACTTCTGACCTCGTGATCCACGGGCCTCAGCCTCACAAAGCGCTGGGATTACAGGCGTGAGACACCGCGCCAGGTGGAGACCCTGTCTTTAAACAATAAAAATAAAAAGGCCAGGCACTGCAGCCTGGGCAATAAGAGTGAAACTGTCTCAAAGAAGAAGAAGAAGAAAAAAAAAAACATAATAGAAAAGAAGAAAAGCCAGGAAAGACTAAGCTAGACAATTCCCAGATAAGTCTAATGTGGCAAAACGGCGGCAGGTTAGCCATGTGAACATGGGAGGTGTGGGGAGCAGAAAGCAGTTGTTTGCAGCCACTGGGTTCCGCCGGGTGGGCTCACTGGGGTGGGCCCAAGGCCAGAGGGAGTCCTGGAGGCCGGGAGCTGGAGGGTGGGGAGACACCGCCAGGCAGGGGAGCGCGGCCTTGCAGGTGTGGTCCCGCTCACACCTCCGCCACCGCCACTGCCACCGCCACAGGGAGAACGCGGAGAACATGTACTACTTCTCAGAGCTGGCCCTGACCCTTAATGAGCACGAGGAGGGCGTAGCGCCCACCGACAGCCGCCTGCGGCCCGACCAGCGGCTGATGGAGAAGGGCTGCTGGGACGAGGCCAATACCGAGAAGCAGCGGCTGGAAGAGAAGCAGCGCCTGTCGCGGCGCCGGCGGCTGGAGGCCTGCGGGCCCGGCAGCAGCTGCAGCTCGGAGGAAGGTGAGGCCGGACGGGAAGGGCGCCCCGCACGGGAGGAAAGGGGTGCCCGGGTGGGGGTCCCGCGGGGACGGATTCCGGGGTGCATGCCACCTGCCGACCCACCAGCCCACTGTGCCTGCCCAGCAGAGAAGGAGGCGGATGCCTACACGCCACTGTGGTTTGAGAAGAGGCTGGACCCGCTGACCGGGGAGATGGCCTGTGTGTACAAGGGCGGCTACTGGGAGGCCAAGGAGAAGCAAGACTGGCACATGTGCCCCAACATCTTCTGAGTGCCACCCTTGCAGCAAATACAGGCGCCTGCACAGCCCGGCCCACCTGTTCATTAATGCACTCAATTTAGTACTGAATGGTCTTTCTCCCAGCCCATTCCCAGCCCTTCCTGTTTCCTTTCCTACTTTTTTTTTTTCCCACACTTTCTTGGGACTCCCACCTTGGAAGGAGGAAGGGCTGACCTGGGTTCTCTTCAGCCCCCAGGTGCGCCGGGTCACCCATGCCCCTTCATTATGGACCTGGGCCCTACTGGAACCCCTGCCCCAGTTACCACAACTCAGGCCGGCTGGCCCGGGCCACGGGCTGCGCAAATCACCAGCCCCCAACCCAGGGAGGAACTGGCCCCTCCTAGGGAGCCTCTTCGACTTTTTTAGAAAAATGATCTCCATTTCTTTCCAGCCATGATGTTTAGTAAATATTTTTAGTACCGCAGTTAGCAGACAGCTTTCCAAGTGTGCTTTCTTGCCACAAAAGTGTCCTGGCAAGAGCCCCTTATTTTTAAGACATCAGGAAGCCAGACCCCTTTTGAGTTGGGATAATTTTGTAGCTCAACATATCAAGTCCTCGATGGTATCTGAGCTGCCCACACCCCCACCTGCCAGGGCCCCACAGAACCCAAAACAGAAGGGGGCTGCCCCAGCCCAGCAGAGCACAGAGAGTTTCTCGAGCTCCCACCCACAGATGCGGGAGGGGGTACTGATGGCATCCCCCATATGGATTTGAGGGCAGCAGTCCCTGGCCTCGCCCTAGCCAGCCCAGGTGGCTCCCTAGCCCCAAGAGGCCAGGAAGGGCTGGAAGGCAGGGCCTGCAGGTGCTCCCCGCCCTGAGACCCAGGCCCCAAATCAGCAATAATGAACAAACCCTTGGCCCAGCCTGGGCTGGTGACCCAGGCACCAGAGACCTTGCATCCCTCCTCATCCTAGGAGGCCCCTAGGGGTGCCCCATCTCAGTGCCCCCTGAACTCTTTATTTGCCTAATTTATATATAGAGAGATATATAAATATATATAAAATAGCTATTTTGCTTAAATTTCTACAGTATGTAAAAGTGAAAAAATGATGAAGACGGGCGCACCTGTCTGAGTTTGGCCCTCATGTCAGCTGTGCCCTTCCCTCTCCTCATGCCCCCTTCCAGCGGCTTCTGCCAACCATGGGGGGCTGGACCACCATGGTCACTGACCCAGCCCCTCAAAATCTCACACTCCAATCCTTTCCATTTCAGTTTAGTCCTAAAAGTTCATCACAGGGTTTTTCTTTCTACTCCAGGACTGGTTTTGTTTTTATATATACATAAAAAAAAAAAGTGAAAACACCAATGTGTGAAATGCCTTACGATGCCCACTGGAGAGGTGGGGTGGGGTAGGGCAGGATGGCCCCACTGGGGCTCCCACAGAGCTGTGGAATGTACCTCTCCCCAACACTGTTTTGTTAGCAAGCACCTTTTGACCAGTAATAAAAAACCTTGGCTTTGGAGTTTTCCATTGCCCTGTCCCTCAGTCTCTCTGTGTCTGGGTGGAGGGGGCTAACGTAGAAGGACAGGTGACAGCCTACAAGGTGGCATGGGGATAGAGCATGGGGTGAAACAGCAGGGGGGTTGGGGAAGAGAGGAGGTAGGAGACCCAGGAAACTGCCCAAAGGGCTGGGGAGAGAGTTGCAGCTCTGTCAAAGGCTGCCCTGATGCTGTGGTCACAGGGCTGACCTGGACCTAGCTCTGCCCTTTGGAAGGGCAGTGTTTTGGAAGGGCAGTGTTTTAGCCAGGTGGAGACCACCAACATCCCCCTCCCGTGTTTCAGTTCCTGGAGCTGTCTAATGGGAGGCCTTCAGGGGGAAGGCCAGCCCTGGTGAGTTCCGTGTCACTTGACAGCAGCAGCCTGGGTTGCACTTCCAGGTGAGGGATGGGTGGAGCAGGGCACCCCAGGGTCATCAGGGCCAGTGCTCTCACCATCTGCCTCCACACCCTAGCCCTGTGGGATCTGGGGCTGGCCCTGCACAGCTCCTTCCCTGGCTAGGCTTCCCCATCTGTGGGGTGGTGGCCACTAGCAGGGGGTCCCTGCTGAGGAGCTGGTGGGGCAGGTCTCACTGGAATAGAAGTGAGATGGAACCTCAGGATGCACCTGACCCAGAAGGCAAGGGAGGGGACAAAGGCCAGTCTACTGAGGCAAAGAGAGGGTTCTGAAGAGCTTGAACAGGAAGTGACATCAGGGCAATGTTTTAGAAAGACTACTCTGACCAGCAGGACACAAGATCAACCTACACTCAGTGGTCCCACATACCCTAGCCATCGCTGAGTAGAAAATATAATAGAAAAAAATATCTACAACATAGGCCATCTGATAAAAATACACAAAACCTGTAAAAGACCTTTATGGATATGACAAAGAGGACCTTAGTTAAGAGGGGAAATGCATCTTCATAGATAGGTTCACATTCAGTTATGTTAGTCCCAAACCTACAAATTCAACATGATCCCTATCAAAATCCTACCAATAGTTCAAAAGCTTGACAAGTTGTGAAATTTATGAGAAAGTGATTGTAAAAAAAAAAAAAAAAAGCGAAAAGGGGCCAGGTGCAGTGGCTCACACCTGTAATTCCAGCACTTTAGAAGGCAGATCACTTGAGGCCAGGAGTTGGAGACCAGCCTGGCCAGCATGGCAAAACCCCATCTCTACTAAAAATACAAAAATTAGCCGGGGGTGGTGGTACACACCTGTAATCCCAGCTAGTTGGGAGGCTGAGGCAGAGAATTGCTTGAACCTGAGAGGCAGAGGCTGCAGTGAGCTGAGATCGTGCCACTGTACTCCAGCAAGAACTTGGGGGATGATGACAGGACCATGTGGGCTTGACCTGCAGATGCCCAAACAAGCCGGAAGCCTACTGGGGACACACAGCTTCCTTTTTCTCCACTGCGCTCTGATCACCACCTGGCTGCCATATAGTGTATTTGTTGATGGTCTGCCTCCCTACCCCAATGGACTGTGAGCTTCATGAGAAAAGGAATCTGGTCTTACACATTGTAGCATCCCACTGCCTGGCACATGGTAAGTGCTCAATGAATAGCTGTCAAAAGAATCAACACCAGGCCAGGAAGACCAGCTAAAGCAAACACTCAGTAGGACAACACCTGAGCAGTGGGGGGCGTGACTGCAGTACCATGTTGGGAGGAGGCTCAGAAATGGAACTGGGGAAGAGCCAAGCCCAGGGACCCAGGAAACTCCTGCCTCCCCCAAACTCTGGAGTCCAAATTGCTGCTCCTGACAGACTGTGGGGTAGGAGTCAGATTCTGTAAGTGGGGAAGAGAAGGCCTGAGGTTCCCTCATCTCCAGGGACATGGCTCAGCATGAGGGGAGCTGGGAGGAGAGGACAATGGAGAGATACATTTCAAAGTGGAACACAGAACAGGACCAGAGACAAACTCAATGCTATTTAACTTACTGTTTTTATGAAGCTAGCCAGCATACATAACTTCAGCAACAAAGCCTGATAAAGACAGTGTGAAAATAAAGGGAATATATAGTTCAGTCTCATGGAAGAAAAGAATTTTCATAAATCCAAACAAGGGAATAGCAAATAGAATCTAGCCACATAGAAAAGACTGAATCTCAGGTTGGTAAGGCCATGCCCAAATTAGGTTTACTGCAGAAATGCAAGAATGGCTCAGTGTTGTGAAGCTTTCCATGGTAAATAATTCATTACATCAGCCAAAGGACTTCTCCTTCTGGCCATATGGTAAACTAGGTTCCTGGAAAATATTCCTTTGTGGAAAACTAGACAGGTTGGATAAAATTCTTAAAAGTTGGCCGGGCGCGGTGGCTCAAGCCTGTAATCCCAGCACTTTGGGAGGCCGAGACGGGTGGATCACAAGGTCAGGAGATCGAGACCATCCTGGCTAGCATGGTGAAACCCCGTCTCTACTAAAAAAAATACAAAAAACTAGCCGGGCGCCGTGGCGGGCGCCTGTAGTCCCAGCTACTCGGGAGGCTGAGGCAGGAGAATGGCGTGAACCCGGGAGGCGGAGCTTCCAGTGAGCTGAGATCCGGCCACTGCACTCCAGCCTGGGCGACAGAGCGAGACTCCGTCTCAAAAAAAAAACAAAAAAAAAAAACTTAAGCTCAACAAATCCTAATTATGGTAAATAAAAAGAAATCCACAGCTAAATACAATATAGTAAAACTGCAAGATTACTAAGACAACAAAACCTTACAAGCAGATTTTTTTTAAATTACCTTCAAAGAGCATCAATTAGGCTGGGTGCAGTGGCTCACACCTGTCATACCAGCAGCTTGGGAGGCTGAGGCAGAAGGATTGCTTGAGACCAGCAGCTGGAGACCATCGTGGGAAAATAGAAGAGACCCCATCTCTACAAAAAATAAAAATAAAAACTAAATTAGGCATAGTGGCATGTGTCTGTAGTCCTAGCGACCCAGGAGATTAAGGCTAGAGGATTGCTTGAGCCCAAGAATTTGAGGCTGCAATGAGCTATGACCACACCACTGCACTCCAGCCTGAGCAACAGAGATCCCAAAAATTCATCTCCAAAGGAAGGCCAATTAGACCGAGAACAGATTAGACTGAGAGTTAGCCTCCAAAGGAAGTCAGAAGACAAGTATTACCTCCAAAATAGAGAAGAAAATGTTAGTATTCTCCTCAGTCAAAATTTTCCACAGGCCACGTGTGGTGGTTTATGCCTATAATCCCAACACTTGGGGAGGCCAAGGTGGAATGATCACTTGAGGTCAGGAATTTGAGACCAGCCTGAGCAATACAGCGAGACTCCATCTCTACAAAAATAAAATAATTAACCAGGCATGGTAGTGTGTACCTATAGTCCCAGCTACTTGGGAGGCTGAGGAGGGAGGATAACTTGAGCCTAGAAGTTCAAGACTACAGTGAGCTACACAATCATCCTGTCTCTGTCTCTCTGTCCCTCCCTCTCTCTCTCTCTCATATATATATATATACACACATATATGTGTGTGTGTGTATAACTAAATTTAACATACTAAACAGTATATTATTTTTTAAAAATATATATGTAGTGTCATGTGGAGTGAGACTATGATGAGTTAAGATTATATAAAACTTACCAGGTAATCACAGAAGGAAGAGCAATACTAAATTACTTCCAAAGCAGTAGAAGAAACACATTGAATGCAGGGAGGAATAGCTCAGTAAATCTAAAGAAGGCAAGAGAGGAGAGGAAAAAAGAATGTAGAATAAAAATCACAAATAAGAGAATTCATCAATAATACCTCAGTAATTACATAAAATTAAGTAATCTAAATGCTTCAAGGAAAAAATATGGACTAAAAATAAAATCCAGCTATATGCTATTTACAAGAATACACCTAAAACATACATATACAAACTAAACAGACTTAAAGGCAAAAAATATTACTAGACGTCAACTACTAGAATTTTTGAAGTCACTTTGTAGTGATAGAAGGTAAAACTCATAAATTTCTAAAACTCTTATGCACCTAATAACATCTCAAAATGTATAAAGTAAAATGGATAAAGAGAAAGATAAATCCTCTATGATAATGGAAGACTGTAATGTATTTCTCCCAGTAATGAGAGCTCAAACAAATTATGTTAATTACTACATAATTAACACACATGATGTCATGGACACATACAGGGAATTACATGTGACTGCAGAGTACATATTTTTGAAATGCACACAGAACTTTTATGACTATTAACCACATATTTGATCCAGTCATAAAGCCAAAGCAAATTTCAAAGGACTGATATACAGACCACATTCTCAGACTTGCATGAAGACAGTTCAAAATCAATGACAAAAACAAAACTGGGAGAAAAAACAGACTAGAACATTAAGAAACATACTTTGAAATAACTCATAGGTCAATGAAGAAGACAACAGAAATCAGAAAATACAGTTAAACAAAAATACTACATATCAAAATGTACAGAATACAGGTAAAGCAGTACCTTGAGGAAAATTTACAGCATTTAAGGCTCATGTAAAAGACTAAAAGATTTTTTTTTTTTTTTTTTTTTTTTTTGAGACGGAGTCTTGCTCTGTAGCCCGGGCTGGACTGCAGTGGCCGGATCTCAGCTCACTGCAAGCTCCGCCTCCCGGGTTTACGCCATTCTCCTGCCTCAGCCTCCGGAGTAGCTGGGACTACAGGCGCCCGCCACCTCGCCTGGCTAGTTTTTTGTATTTTTTTAGTAGAGACGGGGTTTCACCGTGTTTGCCAGGATGGTCTCGGCCTCCCAAAGTGCTGGGATTACAGGCTTGAGCCACCGTGCCCGGCCGACTAAAAGATTTTTAAACATCCAATTTGAGTCAGAAAATGAACATTAGAATAAACTCAAGAAAAGGACAAGAATGAAAATAAAGATTAGATATTCATTAAATAGGAAAATAATAAAAAGAATGAAGAAAGCTGAGGTTGGGCCGAGCACGGTGGCTCATCCCTGTAATCACAGCACTTTGGGAGGCCAAGGCAGGCAGATCATGGGGTCAGAAGATCAAGACCATCCTGGCTAACATGGTGAAACCCCATCTCTACTAAAAATACAAAAAAAAAAATTAGCCGGGCGTGGTGGTGGGCGCCTATAGTCCCAGTTACTCGGGAGGCTGAGGCAGGAGAATGGGGTGAACCCGGGAGGCCGAGCTTGCGGTGAGCCAAGATTGCACCACTGCACTCCAGCCTGGGCGACAGAGCAAGACTCCGTCTCAAAAAAAAAAAAAAAAAAAAAGACTTATAAAGACTTATAACCATTTCTTTTTAAAAATCAGTTAAAAGTAGTTCTAACAGGCCGGGTACAGTGACTCATGCCTGTAATCCCAGCACTTTGGGAGGCCAAGGTGGGTGGATCATGAGGTCAAGAGATCGAGACTATCCTGGCCAACATGTTGAAACCCCACCTCTACTAAAAATATAAAAATTAGCTGGGTGTGGTGGCACACACCTGTAGTCTCAGCTACTCAGGAGGCTGAGGCAGGAGAATCACTTGAACCCGAGAGGCGGAGGTTGCAGTGAGCCATGATCCACTGCACTCCAGCCTGGTGACAGAGCGAGACTCCGTCTCAAAAATAGTCCTAACATATACACACAAAATTCTACACAGATGACCAAGTAATAATTCCAATCTTACAGAAACTTTCCCAGAGTAGAAGGAAAGAGAGAATACTCCCAAAATCATTTCTTGAAGCTAACATAACCTGCTCACAAAAACCTGACAAACAGTATGAGAATGGACAGTTACAAACTAATGTCACTTATAATGGTACAATTCAAAATAAAATATTAATAAATCTAGCAATATAGAAAAATCATTATTATTCCAAAAATGCAAGGTTTATGCTGAGAAAAACTAAACAATATAATTCACCACATTAACAAATTAAAGGAGAATGCTACATAGTTATACTAATATGCAGAAAACACTTCAGGTAAAATTCAGCACACATCCATGATATTTAAAAGGAAAAAAAAAAAGGCCAGGCACAGTGGCTCTTGCCTGTAATCCCAGCACTTTGGGAGGCTGAGGCAGGCAGATCACTTGAGGTCAGGAGTTCGAGACCAGCCTGGCCAACATGGTGAAACCCCATCTCTACTAAAAATACAAAAATTAACTAGGCATGGTGGTGGGCACCTGTAATCCCAGCTATTCGAGAGGCTGAGGCAGGAGAATCACTTGAACCTGGGAGGTGGAGGTTGCAGTAAGCCAAGATGGCACCACTGCATTCCAGCCTGGGCAACAGAGTGAGACTCTGTCTCAAAAAAATAAAAATAAATAAATAAAATAAAAGGTTTAGCAACAGTAATGGAAGAAAATTTCCATAATCTGATATCTACACACATACACACACGCACTTTTTCCTGCGAGACAGGGAGCAAAAAGAGATGCCCACTTTCCCTCTTTATATTCAACATTGTACTCAGAGCCAATGCAATAAGACAAAAAAAATATTTATATAAAGTATGAGAATTGGTAAAATTATCACTGTTCACTGATGATGTGACCTAAAAAATCCAAAAGAATTCTGCAGATAAGTCAATGGATATATAAAAATCAATTACATTTTTATATACTAGCAACAAACTATCAGAGAATGTAACTTAAAATTGTCATTCATCTGCAGTAGCATTACAAATCATCAGGTTCCAAAGATTTATCTAACAAAAGATATATGAGACCTCAAAAGGGAAAACTGTAATACTTTTTTTTGAGAGACACTAAAGAAAGCTCTAGATTGAGAATTATACCATATTCATGGTTGGGAAGACTTACAAAGGTATACATTCTTCTCAGTTGAGGACAGATAAAATCAATTCCAATGGAACCCCTACAGGTTTTCTCATGGAGCTTGATGATTATAAAATGTACACGAAAATGCTAAGACCTAACAGTAGTCAAGACACTATCAAAGTGGAAAAGTAGCCAGGTGTGGTGGCTCATGCCTGTAATCCCAGCACTTTGGGAGGCCAAGGCAGGTGGATAGCTTGAGGTCAGGAGTTCGAGACCAGTCTGGTCAACATGGTGAAACCCCATCTCTATTAAAAATACAAAAAAATTAGCCAGGTGTGGTGGTGCATGCCTGTGATCCCAGCTACTTGGGAGAATGAGGCAGGGGAATCCCTTGAACCAGGGAGGTGGAGGTTGTAGTGAGCTGAGATCACGCCACTGCATTCCAGCCTGGGTGACACAGTGAGACTCAGTCTAAAAAAAAACAGTAGGAGGATTGGCTCTACTAGCTATCAAAACAATGTAAAACTATAAATTAGTATTGGCATAGAGAAAGAGACAATAGACAAATATAACCAAATTAAAAGTTCAGAAACAGATTAATACATAAATGAACATTTGATATATAACAGAGGTAGCACTATAGATCAACAGTGAAAGAAAAGACTACTCAATGAAGGGTGGTGAGGCAACCAGGTATACATATGGATAGAAGGAGAGAAGAGGAAGGGAGGGAATGAAGAAGGAAAGGAGGAGGGAAGGAGAAAAACTGGACCTCTACATCACACTATACATGAAAGTCAATTCTGGGTATATAAAGATCTAGGTAAAGCAAGGTGGCTCATGCCTATAATCTCAGCACTTTGGGAGACTAAGATGGGCAGATCACTTCAGGCCAGGAGTTCGAGACCAGCCTGGCCAATATGGCAAAATCCTATCTCTATTAAAAATACAAAAAATTAGCTGGGTGTGGTGGCACATGCCTGTAATCCCAGCTACTCAGGAGGCTGAGGCAGGAGAATCACTTGAACCCAGGAGGCAGAGGTTGCATTGAGCCAAGATCATGCCGCTGTACTCCAGCCTGGGCAACAGAATAAGACTCTATCTCAAAAAATAATTTAAAAAAAAAAAAAATCCAGGCCGGACACAGTGGCTCAAGCCTGTAATCCCAGCACTTTGGGAGACCAAGACGGGCAGATCACGAGGTCAGGAGATCAAGACCATCCTGGCAAACACGGTGAAACCCCGTCTCTACTAAAAAATACAAAAAACTAGCCGGGCGAGGTGACGGGCACCTATAGTCCCAGCTACTCAGGAGGCTGAGGCAGGAGAATGGCATGAACCCAGGAGGCGGAGCTTGCAGTGAGCTGAGATCGCGCCACTGCACTCCAGCCTGGGCGACAGAGCGAGACTCCGTCTCAAAAAAAAAAAAAAATCTATACAGATGGTCCTCAACTTACAATAAGGTTATGTTCCAATAAACCCATAAATCAAAAATATCGTAAGTTAAAAATGCATTTCATACTCCTACTGAACATCATAGCTTAGCCTAGCCTACCTTAAATGAGCTCAGAACACTGACCTTAACCTACAGTTGAGTAAAATCATCTAACACATAGCCTGTTTTTATAACAGAGTGTTGAATATCGAACACTGTACATTATAGAGTATCAAATGTTTACCCTTGTGGCTGACAGCTGCAGCTTGCGGCCACTGCCCGGCACCACAATATCTTACAGAATATTGCTAGCCTGGAGAAATATGAAAATTCAAAATTCAAAGTGCAGCTTCTACTGAATGGTTATTGCTTTCACAACATCATAAAGTCAAAAAAAATCATAAGTCAAACCATCATTAAGGTAGGGACCATCTGTATATGAAAGACAAAACTATAAAGGCTTTAGAAGATAAAACAAAACATCTTCATGACTTCAGGGTAGAGAAGTATTTCTTATTTTTGTTTTGTTTTTGAGATGGAGTTTCGCTCCTGTCTCCCAGGCTGGAGTGCAATGGTGCAATCTTGGCTCACCGCAATCTCTACCTCCCAGGTTCAAGCAGTTCTTCTGCCTCAGCCTCCTGAGTAGCTGGATTACAGGCACCCACCATCACGCCCGGCTAATTTTTGTATTTTTAGTGAGGACGGGGTTTCACCATGTTGGCCAGGCTGGTCTCAAACTCCTGACCTCAGGTGATCCGCCCACCTCGGCCTCCCAAAGTGCTGGGATTACAGGAGTGAGCCACCGCACCCGGCCAAGAAGTATTTCTTAAACAAGTTATAATAAAACTATAAATAAAAGACTGATAAATTATAATTCTACATTTTTAATTAAGGACTCCTAATCCTCAAAAAGACTCTGTAAAAAGAGAATAAAAAAGAAGGCATACCAGAGAACAGGAGAAGAGATCTGCAACACAGATAACTTATAAAGAACTTGTCTCCAGAATATACAAAATTCAAATCAGAAAATGATAAAATAGAAAAATGGGCCCAAATCTTGAGCAAACACTTCATCACAGAAACCTAAATGGTCAATAAGGCCAGGCACAATGGCTCACACCTGTAATCCCAGCACTTTGGGAGGCTGAGGCAAGTGGATGGCTTGTGTCCAGGAGTTAAAGACCATCCAGGGCAACATAGCGAAACCCTGTCTCTACTAAAAATACAAATATTAGCCAGGCATTGTGGCACATGAGCCAGGGCGACATAGTAAAACCCTGTCTCTACTAAAAATACAAAAATTAGCCAGGCATTGTGGCACATGCCTGTAGTCCTAACTACTTGGGAGACTGAGGCAAGAGGACTCCTTGAGCCCAGGAGGTGGAGGTTGCAGTGTGCTGTGATCGTGCCACTGCACTCCAGCCTGGGCGACAGAGCAAGACCCTGTCTCAAAAATAAATAAAAATAAATAAATGGTCAACAAATATAAGAAAAGGTCCTCAACCACATTTTAGAAATCGGAAAAATCTAAATTAAACCACACTGAGATACCACTATATCCCCATCGGACTGGCAAAACATTTCAAGTCTAGCAATATCAAGCACAGGCAACAAAGTGGAGAAACAAAGCAACTATCGAGTGTCAATGGGTGTGAAAATTAACACAACCAATTCTGGCATTACCTTTTAAAGTGGAAATGGGCATGACCTATGATTCTGCAATTCTACTCCAAGGATTATATCCTAGGGCAGGGGTCCCCAACCCTCAGGCCACACACCAGTACCAGTCTATGGTCTCTTAGGAACCGGACCACACAGCAGGTGAGCTGTGGGCAAACAGGCAAGGCTTCATCTGTATTTACAGCTGCTACCCATTACCCATTACTGCCCAAGCTCTGCCTCCTGTCAGGTCAGCGACCACATTAGATTCTCACAGGAGCAAGAACCCTATGTAAACTGTGCATGCGAGGGATCTGGGTTGCGTGTTCCTGATGAGAATCGAATGCCTGATGATCTGTCACTGTCTCCCATCACCCACAGATGAGACCATCTAGCTCCAGGAAAACAAGCTCGGGCTCCCACTGATTCTACATTATGGTGAGTTGTATAATTATTTCATTATAAATTACAATGTAATAATAACAGAAATAAAGTGCACAATAAATGTAATGTGTTTGAATCATCCCAAAAACCATCCCCCACCCCAGTCCATGGAAAAACTGTCTTCCATAAAACCAGTCTCTGGTACCAAAAATGTTGGGGACAGCTGTCCCAGGGAGAAAGTCCTGCATACATGCAACAGGAGACATAAACTAAACAATGCAGTTGCCAGTCTCAGAGGCATGCATTTAAAATTGTATTATGTTCAACTGCAGGTGTAATTCATTCATTTTCATTACTGTCTAGTATTCGGCAGTGATGTGGCAACCTAAATAACAAAGAGGCTCTCTAAAAGACAAGACATATATACATAAATTTGCAATGCTTTGTTCCCAAATAAGTATATTTTCTTTTGAGAACCTCTCTTTATTGTTATTTAGGTTAACAACCCGAATACTACCCAGTAGTGAAAATGAATAAATTACAGTTACATCCAACAACATGGATGAGTTTCTGGAACACAATGTTGAAAAACAAAACTGCAAAACAGTAAATAAAACGTTATGTCCATCTAAGTTCAAAAACCAAAACAAAACAGGGCAAAATAAAACAGGAATACACAGAGCTCATACAAATATAATGAAGAGTAAAGAAACACAATTATAAAATGAAACACTCTAAGAGTAATAAACACAATTCAGGATGATGGTGACCTTTGAGCAGGGAGACAAGCGGTCCAGGAAGGACACACAAGGATTTATAAAATAACGAACCAGGTGATGGTTGTTCGATGTATATTTTTTCTGCTTTACAATTTTTTTTTTTTTTTAAGACAGTTTCTCACTCTGTCACCCAGGCTAGAGTACAGCGGCACGATCATAGCTCATTGCAGCCTCCACCTCCCGGGCTCAAGCGATTCTCCCACCTCAGCCTCAGCACAAACCCAGCTAATTTTTGTATTTAATGTAGAGGCGACGTCTTGCTATGTTGCCCAGGCTCGTCTCGAACTCCTGGGCTCAAGCAATCTGCCCACCTTGACCTCCCACAGTGCTGGAATTACAGGCGTCAGCCACCGCGCCCGGCCACTTTACAAATATTTTATACAGTATTCTTTCATAGCTACTCAATGTCTAATTGAAAATAAAAACAGCAGCATAAAGGAGAAAACTATGTATTTTTTTATAGAAGGTGTAAAGACATTTGACAAAATTGAGCCAGTTTCCAGCGGGCACAACTCACATTTCATTATGTGTGACTGGTGCCCCCTGGCGCCCGACTCAGGCAGGACTGACAACTACCGGTGAGTCTCAGCAGCCCCAAGAGAAACTAAAGGAAACCCTAACATTTTAAAAGCCACTTGCCGAAACTCTCACTGCTCAGCTCTCACATGTGGATTTCTACCCACATCAGAAACAAGCCTGGGATCATTACTCAACATTGTTTCAGAGGTTCTAACTAAAGCAAACTGACAAAATAAACTGGTATACCCTGCAAATTTATATCTATAAAAAACGGGCTTATTAAAACTACCAGAATTCCTAAGATAGAAAGTGAATTATATTAAATATTAGCTTTTCTTCATATTAATAATCAGTGAGCAATACAGATGGGAAAAAGTATTTCATCACAATAGACAAAAACCATAAAACACTTAGGAATAAATTTAACCAGAAAGTTATAGAACCCGTATAAAGAATTTATAAAATCTTATTGGAGGACCTAAAAGAAGTCTTGAGTAAATGGAAAGCCATTTTTATCCTCTGGGGGAGGATTAATATCATAAAAATGTCAATGCTCCCAAAACTTACATTTAAATTTAATGCAATTATAATTTAAATCCCAATGGAACACTTTCTTTTAGGCAGGGATGGGAGAGAACTGGATAGTGCGATTAAATATTTCATGTGAGAGAATAAATTCTAAGACTGGAAAATCATTTTTTAACAAGTGAGGGAGACTGATCTATTTAGATGGTGATGACGCCCACAATTATAGTTTCAGCCAGAACCTCACCCCTCACATCACACTCACTTGTGCAACTGACCACAGATGTCTCCACTGGCGTCTAAGGGGCATCTCAAACGCAACAAGTCCACACCTGTTGGTTCATTTAATAAGAGGCTCATTTAATAAGTAGGGCTGGAATGAGTTAATTTCCACCTGGGGGCAGGGGAAGCTTGACTCTTGTCTTACAGCTTATACAAAATATATTCCATAAGGACTACAGGTTGGCTAGTAAAAAATAAAAAATAAACATTGCAACAAAATATAAGAGAATATCGGGGGAAGGGGAGAACAGAGAAGGGGATGGATTTCCCAAGCATGATAGGAATCCCCAAAACTTTAAAACATTTACCTTTCAACAAACACCATAAACCAAGCCAAGGACAAACGCATAGAAAACAGACTAATGTTAAGTCCAAGAGGCTTCAGGTGCTCGGCCTCAGGTCCAAAGGCAGGCACACACCCTTCCCGGCAAAAGGAAAAACACGCAGCTTCCTTTCCTAGTGTTTGTTCTTCCTTGCAAAGATAAAAGCGCCGACCCTAAGGACATCTGTTCAACGACTGTTTTCCCCAGTGGCTCCCTAAAAGTTGGAAAACAACTGGGGGGGAAAGATTTCATCTGCACTTTGACTTAATTAATGCTCAGCAGCTTGCAGGAAAAAAAAAAAAAATCCTCGCTTTTCTGCTTGGGGTGTGAGTGGGCCCTTGCTCTCCTTGTAACTCCAGCTACTAGAGAGTCTGAGGCAGGAGAATTGCTTGAACCCTGGAGGTGGAGGATGCAGTGAGGCGAGATGGCGCCACTGCACTCCATCCTAGGTGACAGAGCGAGACTGTCTCAAAAAAAAAAAAAAAAAAGGAGAATCCCTGGAAATACTTACCTAAAAGATGCGAGGAAACCCCCAAAGGCCGCAGGTACCTGCAGCAAACCCTGAGCGCCGCCGCCAGCTCGCGAGGCTTCCAAAGCGCATGCGCAGGTCACGGTGCACGTGCGGCGCGCCAGCAAAGCCGCGCAGGCGCCGTGTCGCTTCCGCCTCGAGCGTGCGGCGGGGTTGGGGAAGTCCTCCACAGTTCATAACCGTTGACTGGTTATGAACCGTTCATAACGGGCGTTCATAACCACGCCGTGTTAGACTGAGCATGACCAGTCTACAGACCCGCGAAGCCTCTACAGAGATGGCCAAGTGCTGGAGTCTTGGCTGCGTCCTCTAGGCCAGGTGAGAATTTACAACCCACCCTCGGCCACGTGTTGTGCTGTGGTCGCTGATAATTAAGCATGAGGAACTTGGCCGGGCGCGGTGGCTCAAGCCTGTAATCCCAGCACTTTGGGAGGCCGAGACAGGCGGATCACGAGGTCAGGAGATAGAGACCATCCTGGCTAACCTGGTGAAACCCCATCTCTACTAAAAAAATAAAATAAATAAAAAATAAACTAGCCGGGCGAGGTGGCGGGCGCCTGTAGTCCCAGCTACTCGGGAGGCTGAGACAGGAGAATGGCGTGAACCCGGGAGGCGGAGCTTGCAATGAGCTGAGATCCGGCCACGGCACTCCAGCCTGCGCGACAGAGCGAGACTCCGTCTCAAAAAAAAAAAAAAAAAAAAAAAAAACCATGAGGAACTCAAAAACTCTGAACCTTCTGACAAACAGGATCCCCCCTGCCCACTGCGGTGCCCCAAACCCAGCGGGACAGATTGGTTTACATGGTGGAGCATTGGGGAGGACCCAGAGCTTTCAATAAGGAAAGAAATGATGTGGGGAGGGACAGTAAATCAAAGTAGGGGATTAGGCCGGGCGCTGTGGCTCCCAGCCCTTTGGGAGGCTGAGGCAGATGGATCTCAACACCAGGAGTTCAAGACCAGCCTGGCCAACATGGCGAAACCCTGTCTCTACTAAAAATACAAAAATTAGCCAGGTGTGGTAGCACGCGCGTGTAATTCCAGCTACTAGAGAGTCTGAGGCAGGAGAATTGCTTAAACCCTGGAGGTGGAGGTTGCAGTGAGGCGAGATGGCGCCACTGCACTCTAGCCTGGGTGACAGAGCGAGACTGTCTAAAAAGGAAAAGAAAAGAAAAAAAAAAAACAAGTAGGGGATTAGAGCTGGCCACGGCTTCCCCAGAAATCTGCAGTTACTGGGGCAGGAAGGGGCCCTGGAAGCATCTCAGTAGAATCCAGAGGGGACAAGAAAAGAGGAGGGATAACGTCTGTCGCATCCTTCCCTTCTTACTGATCCAAGTTTGCCCTAGTGGTATGAACCCCCTTACCTTCCAGGCCTTGGTGGGCAGCTGCTGACATGTCCAGAGCCCCAGGAAGTGCTGAAGGCACCTGCGGTTCAGGCTCCATGGAAGCCCAGCCCTCCTCCATCCTTCAGGGACACTGAAACTGGCCAAATGGTTAGGCCATGAGGATGACTGCTGAGTAAGCACTTTACCCCCACATCGGACAAGAGTAAGCAGCTGAAGGCCTACAGGTAGCAGGTAGGCGCCAGTGAAATCTTGGAAGCAAAGATGTGGGGGTCAAGAACAGCAGGGAGCTTTGGGCCTCCATCCCAGCTTCAACCAGAGCAGTTCCAGGACTCCTGGCTTTCCATATGGGCTTCTGGATAAATTTTAGGTAGGTAACAGGTCCTGAGGCTGAATAAGCTGGAAGGCCTCTGCCATCACCCAACTCCCTTATTTTAGAGGAGGAACGGGGAGCCAAAATGGGCAGTGACTTATCTGAGGCCTTGCCAGCTTGAAGAAAGAAATGTCTGCTGAACCCATCAGTGGCCCTGGTAAGGCCTGGTGCATTCCAAGTTACTGGATGAAAATGGTGACTGGCCGGGTGCAGTGGCTCATGCCTGTAATCCCAGCACTGGGAGGCCAAGGTGGGTGAATCACTTGAGGTCAGGAGTTTGAGACCAGCCTGGCCAGTGTAGTGAAACCCTGTCTTTACCAAAAAATACAAAAATTAGCTGGGCATGGTGGCATGCACCTGTAGTCCCAGCTACTCAGGAGGCTGATGGGGGAGAATTGCTTGAACCCAGGAGGTGAAGGTTGCAATGAGCCGAGATCATGCCACGGCACTCCAGACTGGGTGACAGAGCAAAAGTCCGTCTCAAAACAACAACAAAAATGGAAACCCCAAATGTCCATAAATAGGAGACAATATATCAACACATGAAATGCTCTGTGGTTCATGAGAATAAAGAAGACCCATATGGGTTATTCTGAAGCAGGTTCCACTACACTTAAGCTACACTAAGTAGTTAACAGGCAGAAATGGAACAGAGTAGAAGTGTGTTCACTTAGGAGGGATACTCTCCAGGGAGAATTCAGGGATTGGGTGGGAGAAGGGAGCCTTGCTTTTCATGGTCCAGCCTTTTAGACGGTTTTAATGTTTGCCATGTGCATGTGTCACTTAAAAATCAAACACCCTAGGTGAGGCATGGTGGCTCACACTGTAATCCCAGCACTTTAGGAGGCCGAGGCAGGTGGATCACTTGCGCTCAGGAGTTTGAGACCATCCTAAGCAACGTGATGAAACTCTACCAAAAATACAAAAAAAAAAAAAAAAATAGCCAGGCGTGATGGTGCGTGCCTGTGGTCCCAGCTAGAGAGGCTAAGGTGGGAGGATCACTTGAGTCTGAAAGGCAGACGTTATCAGTGAGCCAAGATGGTGCCACTGCACTCCAGCTTTGGTGACCAGGGTGAGACCCCCATCTCAAACAAAACACCCTAGTACCCACTCCTCTCGGTCCTTAAACACCAGCATTGCTGCCCTTCACTTTCTTGCAGCCTTGTGCAAAGGACCTTTTCACCACAGATCAGCCAGACCATCTTCCTCCTCCCAAGTCATCAAAGAGTTCCAAGCTGGTCACCTGTCCCTTGATGTTCCCAGGAAACTGGCAAAGAGGACCCCTGCATTTTATCTTCCCATTGGGAGTGGCAGGATCTCTGCCTGGGAAACAGGCTGCATTCAGCACAACTGTGGTAGCATTAACAGTGGGCACATCTAGAAGTTGAAGCTAAAACATTTAAGAACTCGTCTGTTTCTGTGGATGTTAAGGGGGTGAAGATAAAACAATGGAGGTGATGAGGAGGAATAACTTGAAGACCGTTTAAAGCCACAGTGGTACAAAGAATGAAGAGAAGGAAGGTGCTGAATTTTACTAAGAAGAAAACAGACCGAGTTCAGGAGTCTCACCAGTAGAAGTTTATAGTATTGCATTTTGATTACATGTGTGTGAATTTTAAAAATTGATTACCCTCCAGTAAAAATGCAGAACCAACTTGCATTTGGATTAAAACACTAGGTTTGGGGACAAAAGTGGACCCCATGCTGCCTGAGATGAACAGAGACAGCAGGATGGCAGAGGAATCACCAGCTCAAGAAACCCCGAGACTTGGACAGTCTTCCAGCAGAAGAGGCCAGGGTCTCTCAGTGTACTACCCCAAACAGGCCTCTCCCAGAGATGTAGTCTGGGAAGGCCCAAAACCTACCAGACACAGGCATATCCAGTGGGGAAAGGCTTCCCATTCCAGTGTGGCCTGCATCCCTCACCCCTGCTTCCAGTCTTCTGCTGGCCTCGGAGCAGCAGGGTAGCCCTTGCTGATCTGGGTTAGGGAGATGCCAGAAACACACCCAGGTTTGAACCACAAGTTAGTGGTACAAAGTCATAGTCCTTGTGCCTTCAGAAAACCCAGAGGCCCCAAATCCGAGTGGGAAGAGAGTTGGGAAAAACTGAACCAGATTCTTCCAGTGGCCATTAAAGAGAAAATTCAGCAACCCTTGCCTTTGTCTTTGACCCTGAGAAGTTAAGGGACACAGATTGTGGCACTATGATGGGACATGGAGGGAACGCATGGTGTGCTTCCTGCAGAGATGCCTCTGGAGTCCCTGTGGCCAGGGGACCTCACTGGCCCCCTCCTCAGGCACCTTGATGGGGCTCAGTGGGGCCTGGCCAAAGGGTAGAAGTAGAAAAACATCAACAGGCTGTCCAGATCAACTGGCACCATCCAGGGCCCTGCTGCACCCACCTGCACCCACATATGGAGGTCACTAGCTCAGCCCCAGGGGTTTTTGCACACCCAAGCTCTGTCCCTAAAGAGTCCTGTGGGGTTCCACACTCAGTGTGCTACCCAAATCAGAGATTCACCACAGATCTGTCTCCCTTTCAACCTGGACTCAAGTTACTGCGGTAAGAAACCTCACTGACCATGGTTAACTGAAGAAATCCCTCCTTCAGAAAGAACCTGAGTGGTAGATGAGGTGGTTAGACAGGATCTTTTTCCCCCAAGCTGTCTGGACAACGCCACAGCCAGGACCAACTCGGACAGCTGCGAGAGAGAGCCCCTCCAATGTGGAACCTCCTACACAGCCCCCCTTTTGGGTCCCTGGATCTGAGCCCCCAGCAGGACCACCACTCTGGGGGGAAGTCTCCCTCCTATCCCTCAGATCCCCACGTTGTTCCTCCTCTAGGAGAAAAGTCAGCCCTGCCCCTGGAGCTTCTATAAGATGGCACTGAACTCGCCGTTATCTTGAGGAGCCAAGAGCTGAAGTGACTCCGGCTTAGCAACCCAGTGTGGCCAAAGTGGAAAGGTTCTCTGTCCTTTGCAGTCACCAAAAAAGATAAAAGAAGAAGTATGGTCTCACAGGCACAGCATCTTCTTTTAAAAAATAAATATTTATAAACTTAAGGAGGAAGATTCAAAGAATCAGGGTATCTTTCCCTCCAAAAACACAAATGTCCCCTGTAAGTCAAACCAAGGTGCGACCACCAACCCATGAATGAAGCCCTCTCCCCCTGCAGCTACAGGGTTGAAGGGCAGGTGGGCAGGGGAGCTGCTCTCTCTCCCGCCTTCAGTCCCCCTTGGTGATGAGGTCCTCAATGTAGGCGTCCAGCTCATCATCTGTGTTGATGTCTATGTCCTGGAATAGAGCAGGGCAGGAGTCAACGGGGGGCCAGAAAGTGACTGGGGGGCCCACCTTTACACCTTCTCTCAGCTTCTGGGACAGAGCCCAGAGTCCCCTCCCCCACCTCCCACCCCACCCTGGATAACAGGCTTCTGTCCTATCTTTATTCTCCCCTCCTCCATCTACTGTGCACGGATGATGCCCAGATTTCCTGTGCCCGCCCTGCCTCTACCCCATGTTCCTAGTTGTCTTAGATGTACATTTCCCTCAGATCCTACAAATATGCCCACTTTTCTCCCTTCTCTCTGTCACTGCCCAAGGTCCAGGCCACCACTGTCTCAGACAGCTGTGGGAGCCTCCTTACAGGAGGCTCTGGTTCTAACTTTGACCCCTCCAGGCCTCCTCCAACCAACCAGGTAAGTGTCTTGAGACTGAAAACTGGATCATGCCACACCCCTCCAGTGATCTCCAT